CACTATTAGTGAAAATATTACTAAATATTTTTTTTGCAAGTAAGTAAACTGTTCTAGAAATTTAAATTTATAATATTATTGTATATTTGTCCCATCAGTAACGAAATTATATGATAAGTTTTAATATCGCAAGTATGCAACTTGCCCAGTTTTTAATTAATATTAAAAATGTTTGTCCCTATTTCAAATTTGCTTACGCGATAAAAATATATTGGTTTGCTGTCCCAGATTTTTGTATTTCTTTTTTTTTTAAGTTCGTCCCGTCAGTAACGAAATGTGATAATTTTTAGGATGGCAAAAAAAAAAGGTGCTTGACAAAGAAAATACAAAGCGGCGGGTTAAAAAATATCGCAAAAAAAATTATGAAAATCCTGTTTTAAAAAAGACTTCAAGCGCAAAAAAGTACAGAGAAAAATTAAAAAAGTTGGCGGAAAATGATGGTGGGTTTAAAATGCAGCAAAAAATTAATGAAAGAGAAAGGAAAAGAAAGTTTAGAGAAAATAAAAAGCAGCAAACAAAAAAAACAAAAAAAATTGAATACCTGATATATTATATTTTAAGTTTGTTGATGGTACTCATATGTTGATTAAGAAGCACTATGAATCCGAAAAATCAAATTTGTTCAAATGCTTTTAAATTTTTTGCAGTTGTTATTATCATGTTAAAATTATTGTTGAAGTTATTTAGTTAAGTTAACCAATTACACATTTGTTTCAGTGTATAATAAATAAAAATAATAAATGTCCCATCAGTAATGTCCCGTCAGTAACGAGAAATCAAAATGCATTGCCTACATAGATTACACTGAAAGATGAGTGATGTCAAAATAAGTTATACTAACTGCATCTGCAACTTGGTTCATCTATACTTTTCTTCAACATTATTCTGTTTCAGAGAATTATTCTCTTCTAGTAACCAGAAATTTTTTTGACCTTTTTCTTGTCCCATCAGTAACAACATTTTATTGATTTCTAGTTCGTAAAATAAAAAACATTTTAATAGCTCTGATACTGAAAATTTTACACAAACTATAGCTTTAATAGTTACCCAAATATTACCGTCATTAGCCCATTACTGATAGCAACAAATATCAAAAAATAGTTAATTTTTTTTCCGATTGTCCCATCAGTAACGCGTGCAATCGCCCATAAATTCTTTTCAAAGCGAAGATTATTATCCGCTAGGAATACTTTGTCTCTCCTGGGCCGTAGTGACCTATATTTAACTACTTTTTTATATGATTTTACTTATCCAAGCATCACCAAAGCCAAGTTAATTGCATTTTTAACTACGAATTTTGACAACTCAACTTGACTCAACTTGACAACCAATTTTGGTTCCGTATTTACCAACCAAAACCCCAAATTTGCAACGTTGCCGCAGTCCAGATAAAAAAAATGAACTTTACCTACCTATATAAAAATCTAGAAAAATTTAATAATAACTATTATTTTTTTAATATAATTTTTTTTTTGTAATTACAACCTTCTTTTAAATGCAATTTTTAAAGTTTTACGCTAATACCATGTTTTTATTTTATATTACCCTCCTGTGAAAGAAGTCATGTCTAAAGCGCTAAGAGTCTAGCATTTTTAAGCATTATTGTAGTATGAAGATACAATTTAAATTTTGCTACCCTAGTATGTACTTTACCGCGGTTTTTGAAGCATTAAATTAATTTAAGGAATTACGAACATAAAAACGATGTTGAATATACATTTAAAAGTTATTGTTAAGTATTATTACTGCAGTGTGACCCCAAACAAATGGCGACTCAAATTTTTATTTATTGTGCGATTAACCGTATCTTGATAAACTGTATTTTTACAAAATACAAGGCCTACCATGTCAGTTTTTGAGAGTAAAGTTTTAAGAATTTAATTTGGGATTTAAAAAAATCTATGCACGGCACTGGATTTACCATTCCTCAAAACGACCCTATACTAAATTATATTGAAATTTTTTAAGTAGGAACGATTTTGTAGCCAAATTAAATAAAATTAAACTAATAGTAACATATTATAAATAGTCTTATGCTTAGCTTTAACAATAAAAAACGCAATAGAAATTTAACAACAATAAAACAAAAAATAGAGAATTCAAAAAATTGGTAGAGATGACGAAAATCTAATTGTACATAGAGAATTTTTGGAATTCTGACGACTGAAAAAAAATGAAAAAATGTGTACCTGAACGTATTTTTCCAATTTAATTCAATTTATTTTTTATAATTTACTATGAAATACCAATAACATATTTATTTCATTAACAAATTTCGTAATTTTTAAAATTTAATTTTAGTTATATAAATTTTAATTATAATTATTTATTAAAGTGATGGACATAAGACATCATTATTCATAGTTAGGCAACACTTCTTATTGAACTTGATAAAATTTAATTTCGATTTTAGATAGGTACTTCAAGGTTGGGATTTAATTTTTATAATAATTTGTTAGTTTGTCATAATTTTTAAGAGGGAGGACATTTTTATTAATTTAAAATGTCATTTTTATTTGTTATGACCTTATTTTATCTAAAGTTAAAAAAAATCTTAAAAATATCGACAATTATAATATACATATATATCATGAAATAAAAATTTCAGACATTGACATTTGTTCTACTGCTCATAAAATTTTCATAAAGGACAAGAATTCACAATAAAATTTTTATCCTTACATAAATTGGACTGAAGATCAGTGGCGTAGCTAGAGCATTTTTGCCCGCGGGACAAAGAATAATACCGAGTAATAAATACATCATAGGAATTTCGTCTGATGTATGACTTTTTACTTTACGACTTAAAAATTTCATTGAAATGTTCAAATTTACCTTAGCAGCATAAACATATTGTGAGTTTGTGATAAAAAAATAATTCGTATATTAGTATTTTTGTACAAACTTCTTACTTTATGTCACCAAAACACCATTGGTTTGCGACTCACCTCTGTAAAATATTTATTTATTGTGCGACTTTAACCGGATTTGTTTTAAAGTGTAGATCTTGATAAACTATATTTTTGGAGCAAAAAACGCCATATTTTTAAAAAATACAAGGCGTATATGTCAGATTTTAATAATATATATATATATATACATATGGGTGATTCTACAAAAGTTGAGCAACTTTTGCCATCATTTTGTTTATAGTTTTCGGAAAAAATTAAACAGTATTTTGTTATGAGAACATAGATAATATAATAAATATACTGTTCCAGACCGGGCCAGTCACTTTTACAAACATTTTCTGAAATATCTGTGTTTTCTAAATTTGAATGCAAGGGAAGTGACGAGTATACCAGGGTACTAATTAAATACATATTTTTTTGAAAAATATAAGATTTATTGCAACTTTGAGCATATTATACATTAAATATCTTAAAATCAAATAATACCACACATCAGTGGCGGCTGGTGGATTTTGGGTAAACCGATATCTAAATTATTAGATATGAGACCCACACTAAATTTATATGAGTTTATAATGACATTAAATAAACAAGTTCTGCGCAAGCAGAATTTAAATTGAAGTTTGCGAAAAAAAGATAACCGAAACATCGAACATGGAACTGACGACACGGTACTGATGAATGGGATACAAATTTGAGATTATAATTAGGAATTAAGTATTTTACTGATATTTTTTATTAGTGGATGCTACTTATCAACAAATCACATATAGCCTTATATAAATTACAATGAAATATATATACGTAAGAAAATAACTACTCACCACAGTACTGAAATTTTGACTGGAACTATACGTGCATTCACCACAACTTCGCCGCTTGCATTGTTTTCAAGATGACTGCCGTGCAAAGGGCGGGCTCTGTAGGTAATTTTTTACCAACAGAGGACTTGACGTTTAAACTTCAATATTTCGCAGGAATTTTGAATTTTAACATTGGACACAGAACTGACGGGTAAAATTGAGTACAAAGATTATCAATTTTTTAAAAATTGCCATTATTCGAATCTATGATAAAATATGAAAAATACATTATTTAATGTTTTATAGTTTGTAGTGAAATTGAAAAATTTAAGATAAATTGAATATATTTTAAAATAAAACCACTCAAATATTTGATTCAGGAGTTGTGACACGCCAAGGTACTGATGTTTTGAATATTTATTATGTTTTTCTACAAACGTGTTTTTTGAAAAAATACATTAAAATTGAGTGGACAAGTTAAAAAAACCTGGATCTTTTGTAATATACTAAAATATTTACAAAAAATATTAAAATACCTACTCTATTGACTGATGATATCAAGTTGTCCAACTTTTGTAGAATCACCCATATATGTATATATTAGGCTGGTTCAAAAAAACCAACTATTTTTTTTCTAAAATTTCGCACTGAAATTTTTTTACGGTACCAATTTCTATTTCCCATTTAAATAACATGGGAATATTTGTTTTGTTTCTTCATAAAACGAATTCAAAAATTATTCAAAGTCGAAGTTAAATTTATGTCATAATTGCATTTTTTACTTCAATTTTAGGCAAATTCATTAGTTAGTTATTATGAAATATAAAAAAATCATTCAAAAAATCAAAATTAGCTCTCGATATTGGCTGCCGCTTTATGCTCTCATTTGGTTACACTATTAACTATATAGTTGGTGCTTTTGATGACCTTCAGGTTTTAAAATTGAGTTTTTTGTCATATTTTGTCATATTTGTTGTTGTGTATTAAAAATTCAAAAACATACCTACCTAATAAGTTTTAACTAACTTTTGGTGGAAATACCCATGGATGGGAAAATAATTTGGGAAATGATTAAAAAACATTTTGTATAAGTTTTATTTTATTTTTTTAAAAATTTATAAACATTTTGTATTAACACACAAACCAATTAAAAATGTCTTTTTATGCATATTTTATACCAACTTTTTAGTTTATATACAAAAACCTAACGAAATAACAATATTTTTGAATTATTTAATTTCTAATAATAATAATAATAATAAACACAATAAAAAAATAATAAATGTTATGTGTGTCCAGTGTACCAATTCACCAATATATGTCCCAACTTTGAGTATAAGTAGTAAACGATCAAGGCCCAAAAGGAGAACTTAAAAATTTTGTCCACCCACCACATTCTGAAACACAAAAAAATGACATAAAAATTATTTTGCAAAAATTTTTTTAAACAACTCTATCTCTATTATTTCAATATATGCAGTTTTGGTCATTTTATTTAGTTTTAGGACATTTTTATATTTTTATATTTTAGATTAGAAATACCTTATTTTAGACGAATTAAATATTTTATTTTAAAAAATGTCTAACTAAAAAAATACCTTTTCATAATACCTACCTACACTGAAAAAAATAAGCTGTTGAAACAACAAAAAAAATATTAATTCAACTCTTTATGCACTTTAAATACAAGCAATGGTTTTGCACGTTTACTTAATCATCTAAAAATGTCAAATTGTATTGTTTAATTGAACAACAAATATTAGTCAAATGAACAAAATGAGAATATTTGTTCTAATCTGGTAATCTGGTTAATTAAACATTCTTGATATGTCGGAGTAATATTTCGAAAATGGTTGTGCTAACATTTTTAAGATGTTAAGGTAAATTTCTTGAAATGTCCAGGTAACCTTTTTAGCATATTCACTTAACACCAATAAAATGTTAAATTAAAATTATTTGCGCTAATGTTGGATTAATTTAATTATGGAATAAATATAAAGAGAAATAATTGAACCTTCCCTCGCCAGAGTTTTTGTTTTGAGTGCGTTCCACCTACTTCAAATACCTACCGACAGACAGCTGATTCGACCTATATTGGGGGTCTTATCAGTCACTGATAATCAGTGTCTTGCAATTTGGTGAAGTGGAAGTTCCACTGTGGAACACACCGAAAACAAACGGCTACCTGAGCTTATGTACTCCTATCGTAAGCCAACTGAGGCGAGATGTAAGAACATCACGTGATCAACACCGTCTAATGACGTGGCGTGGGTGTTCGAAGCGCCCTTCACGGCAATTTTATGAATGCAAAATTAACAAATTTTAAAGTAACATTTACAATTTGTTAAATGAACAAATTTAATGTTTTGGATTTAAAGAGCAACTAAACGTTAATTTAATAGTTTTTTTAGGTAATCCTAAAAATTTCAGTATTTGATTCAACCAATTCCAGCTATTAAATCAAAATAGGATAAACATTTTAATTCAAAAAATTACTTTATGTTAAATCAATATTTTAACCGTCAAATGAACAAATAAACTTTGACAAACTCTGACTATTGCTTTGACACTAAAATATAGATTAATCCAATAAGTTTTTTGATGAAACAACATTTTCAAAAATGACATTTAGGCAAACTCATTTTTTCGGTGTGTAAAAAACAACCGTAAATTTGTTAGAAATTGACACTGACTATTTGAATGTCATGGTCAAATTTAAAAATAGTTAAGCTATAGCTTTATAACAAAACCAATGCTTTTATCAAGAAACTGGGCTTTGATAGCTATTGGGAACGGTTGTTTATTTCAAATACGGACTTATATGCATATACTAGGTGTGTTCAGAAATTATCGGGAATTGTTAAATTTCGCGGCTTCGGAGGGTCCGGTTGTCATAACATTTTCTTTATTATGTTGTTATACATGCCCCCGAAGTATGATAAAAACTTTAGCTGTTTTCATTGTTTACTTTGTCTGTGGCAGCCGCCAAGGTTAGACGTGTTTTATGAGCTCGGCGATTTTCGTTCGTTAAAAGAAATGGATCAAAGAATTTGTATCCAATTTTAATTAAAAAATAAAATAAATTCTGTGAAATGTTAACAAAGGCCTATAGTGAGTCTGCTATAAGTAAAACAAGAGTTTACAAGTGGTATAAGAGTTTCCAAGATGGCCGTGAAGACGTTGAAGATGACGAACGCCCCGAACGCACAAGCACATTAACAACCGATAAAAACATGGAAAAAGTGGAAGAAGTGGTTATAAAACATCAGAGAAGTCGCTGATGATGTTGGTATATCAATTGGCTCATCCCATGAAATTTTTTCGAATGTTTTGGGTATGAAACGCGTGGCAGCAAAATTTGTTCCAAAATTGTTAAATATTGAACAAAATTTTTGGCCAAAAAGAATACTGTAATGAAGCCCCAGCCTCCATATTCGCCAGGCATGCCTCTGTCTGACTTTTTCCCATTCCCAAAAATAAAGAGAACCTTAAAGGGCCGTCGTTTTGCAAGCATAGATGACATTAAAAGCGCATCGCTGAAAGAACTAAAGGCTATCCCAAAGATCGAGTTTTAGAAGTGTTTCGAGTATTGGAAGAAGAGCTGGCACATGTGCATAATATCCAATGGGGACTATTTTGAAGGCGTCAACATTAATGTAGACGAATAAATAAATATTTGTTTCAAAAAACGAAAATTCCCGATATTTTCTGAACACACATCGTATATGTATATATATGCTAGTACTAAACTTACAGTTAAAACAGGTATTTTAAATAAACATCTATATGCTATAGGTAAAAAAAATTGTTAGTAACCTTTTTAAATTAAATTGGTTTATTTGATATGGATTGAGCCCTATCCAAGTGTCATTACTTTTATATTTCGTGGACCAGTTTTAACAAAAATGTGTAAAGTGCATTTAATAATAATAATAATAATAATAATAGTAATACTTACACTCTCATATGTCTTTTGGCAGCAGGGATTGTGTCGTCAGGTTCCTTAAGTAAATATAGCCTAGCACATCTGACACAGTCTGTGAAATAGTCGTAGTAGTCCATGCCATCTCCGTCGCATTTATATATTTCTCTTTCCAAAGGATTTAAAAGAGATCTGGATGACAGAGTTTCGTCATTGTTGAAGTCCCATTGGTTGTTGGCGTAGTATTCGAATACTTCGAAGCCTTTTGAAATTCTTTTTTGAACTCTCATCAATCTAAAAACAGTAACTTACTTACTAAAATTTTCTGTATACTTAGTCTCTATACGCTAAAAAAGTATCGGGTTTTCGCAACGCGCGCGCCATCTGGTGGACTTCGATAGCATTGCGTGAATTTAAGAATTGTCAACAATACATTTAAAGCATACGAACTGAACATCATTTTTAAATAAATACTTAGGTAGTTTTTTCACAAAAGAGAGAAGTCTCGATAAATTTTGTTCAATTGCACACGTTATTTGAGTTTTACGTTGCAAGGAAAAAATTAAAAAACCTTCCTTATATCATTGATTAAGAAACTCAACGCTTAAATAATTAAATAGTTACGTTAGTGTGAGTATTTTATGTAAGGGATCATGGTAAATTATTGTGTTTTTAATTGTAAATAAAATTCAAGAACTAAATCGTTGCATTTTCGTGTTTTGCCAAAGGATCCAATTCGGTAAGTACATTTATTGGTGCAGAATTAACTAATGATAACTTTACCTAATATAATTTATATTTAAGTTTGGACATTTTAAAGAAATTAGTAAAAAATAATTTTTGCACAAACATAACCTTAAAATCAACCATTTTTATATTTGAGTTCTCTAAAAAACGCCGACAACTGCATTTTAAACAACAAAATATACCTACGAATTCATGGCAACACAATATTATATATAATACACAATATAATGGTATTTTACCGTTGAGTGGAGACTTTCATAATCAACGCTTTTAATAATGCTATATGGTGTTTAAATTTAGACGACTTATTTGTTTGACGATTTTTACTGAATTGAAATGTTAACACTTTTCACGTTAATCACTACTAAAATGTGTATTATTGTATCTAATAGGCACAATTTATATTTACAGAGACTGTATGCAATTAATTTCTTCATTCGGATTAACACTATATATTGGAAAACCGGTAAAAACTCAACCCAGGATTTCCTCTCGAAATACACCCAACAAAACAACAAATCGAGCCACGGTTTTTTTTTCGATATATTTATTATAACATTATGATGATTATTAAAAGTTGTACTTTTGTTACGATGATAACAGTCGAGTGGTGGCGCTACTACATGGAAAGAAATGTTATGATACAGTAAATCAAATCCATTTATTAATTTAAGAAAAGACAAAATTTATCCAAAATGAATTAGTTTAATCTAAAATAGAATAAATAAAAAAAACTGACAAATTTAAGTTTTTTTATGATAAATATGTACATTTCGCAAATGATTAATATCATCAAATTAAAATTAACATCTTTAGATAGACATTATCGTTTAAGTGCTAAATCGAATACATTTTTTTCTAGGAACAGCAAAGTTCAGATTGGCCACAGAAAAAGTTTTTCTTAAACCAATCAAACATTAAGATTGGCTTTATGTAACGTTAAGCTTAATTTTCAAAGAAAAGATAGATAAGATCAACTCTTGGATTTTATTATTATATTGCTATTTGGATTAATTTTATCAAATAATATTTAAATAAAAACTAAATGGATTTAACCTTATTTTTACTAGGATTGGTAAGTAGTATCAAAAGTTGGATAGAATAAGTTTTATATTTGATTAATATTAGTACACATTTTATAGGTCTTTTTCTAAAATTCAGTAAATGTTTCTAATAATTTCATCTAGACAGGATTTTAATTTAAACATATTTCAAATAAGAACAATAAAATAATGGCTTAAAATTAAAATATTTCTGTCTAGAAAAATTTACTGAATTTTAGAAAAAGACCTATGAAATGTGTACTAACATTAATCAAATATAAAACTAATTCTATCAAATTTTTACGATCATCCAATATTTGATTGAATTATTAAAAGTCAGCTAAAATCAAGCTAATATTTTGACCAAATCTGTAATATAAGCAACAAATTTAGCATGCCAATTTTCAATTTTTAACGCGTTTTAGTTTGCAGTTTCTTTTCGAGACAGGTGGTGTAGTGAATTGTGAAAGAACGATCGTGTCTATTCAACACAGCAGATTCCAAAACCGTTTATTTTGACTTCGCTCTCATAGTTTTTGCGATATATGTAGGTATAATAAATTTTATTAATTTCCACGTTTTTGGTTATTAATAGTAATATAGGTATGTTCCTACCAAGCATTTTCACTGTCAAGTAGACGTCAGGGACATGGATAATATTAAAATCGTGATCACAATCCACACAAGAAGGTCTGTTCGATTTCGTTGGCATTCGAACGAAAACTGTTGTGCGCACCACGTGGGATATCTCCAGCCACCATCTTTGATTAATTTGACGCCGTTAAATTAAATTTAAACAGTTGTTTTTTAAGGTTTTAAACGCAAATATTTTAAAACTTTAAAAATTATACATTATATTAGTCAATTAAACATAAAAAACACTTGTTAAACTAAACCATTATTGAGTTATTTTTTTGTATTTTGAACCTATAGATTATTATTTTATTGAGTTATTTTTTATGAAAGTTTGTAAGCTAAAATAAATGAATATTTATTAAACACAAAATTTATTATACTCGTATATACTTTACCTACCCCACTATCACAGCTTATTACGAAGATCAACATTCCAGTCAATAATCAAATATTGAATTGATTAAAATAATACAATTTTTGATAAATTCAATATATTTTTTACCAACTATTTAGATAAATTTTGCACGAATCAATCAAATGATCTGATAAACTTATTCGTAATTTTGTCAAATTTTTTATAACTATTATTACTACTATTAAATTGACCTAAAAAGTGCTTAATTAAATCCAAGAATTGGTAAATTTAAGAAAATATTATGTGGATTCTAGAAAATCGTAGGCGAATTGAATTTAATTTTCACTATAATTATTCCAAATTTTGTAGTGATTTATAAGACTTATTTGCTGCTATTTATCACGGTTTGTTACATTTAAGCCTAGCAAATAATTCAATCGAATGAATTATTGATATTAGTCTAATTTTGGATTGGCGCTATATTGATCAAAAATTTGATTGTAATACTATAGTACTGTAGTAATACTATAGTAGTGGATTAATTGTATTCAAAATTTCTTTCCGTGTAGCGATACTTCTTTAGCGTTTAAGAATTAAAACTTCAATTCTCTGTGTTTCTAGTAGTATTGAGAAAAAAAAACCCGAATTTTTCGATAAATTTGTTTCATACTTACACTGGTTTGTATCCTAAAACAATTAACAAAGCGTCTACAAGAAGAGCTGGTAAAATATGAAACAAATAGAAACATATCAGATGTAGGGTCTTGGAGCTTTTCATTGACCCTCCAGGGTACCAGGCGACTCCGTTTAAAGGTATTCTGTTATTAATTACATCTCTCCCGATGTTTATAAGTTCGTCCCATGAAACTTGATGTTCCGCCGAACTGGAAAGATGGTAAATTTTTCTTTGCCTAAAAAGAAAATATTAAAATCCAGTTATTTAGTTCCAAATTTAACAAAATAGACTTACTTATACGTCACAAAGTCCCAAGTTGCAATTAATATCCCATTAGCTGTTATATCCACCGGTATAAAATCTCCGTATCCATCTCCATTGCAGTACATTGTCCTGAGTACACCCTTCCCTGCTCCTATTAAAAGCCCCGTGGGACCATTTATATTATCCGTCCATCCGGGAATGGGCTCTTTCCAAACAGGAATGACTATGGATGGTCTTAGCAATAGAATAGGGATTTTGTCCATTTGTTCGGATACTAGACCTTCGCTAAGAGCCTTGGTAAAAGCATATGAGTTGGGGTAGTCTCCTAAGATTCTAAAATTTTTTTTTAAATAATATATATGGGTGATTCCACAAAAGTTGGACAACTTGATGTCATCAGTCAATAGAGTAGGTATTGTTTCAAAAGCACGTTTGTAGAAAAACATAATAAACGTATTTTTCATATTTTATCATAGATTCGAATAATATCAATTTTTAAAAAATTGATAATCTTTGTTCTCACTTTTACCCGTCAGTTCTGTGTCCAATGTTAAAATTCAAAATTCCTGCGAAATATTGAAGTTTAAACGTCAAGTCCTCGTTTTAACTTAAGTGTTTGTAAAAAATTACCTACAGAGCCCGCCCTTTGCACGACAGTCATTATGAAAACAATGCAAACGGCGAAGTTGTGGTGAAAGCACGTATAGTTCCAGTCAAAATTTCAGTAATTATTTTCTTACGTATATATATTTCATTATAATTTATATAAGGCTATATGTGATTTGTTAAATCCTATCGGATTTATGGGTTAAAATGAACCTACATACCGAGCAAAAAGTTTCCCTGCAAGGCAAAATTTTTTGCTCAATTTTAAAAGGTGTCGGTGAGCATTCTAAGTTTTCCATTGAAATATCACGTAAAAAAATCTTTTTTCATTAAAAATACCATAACTTTTGAACCGTTTGAGATAAAATTTTTTACGTCGCGGATTCTTGTAGAGCATAAAATTTCCCAAAGAATCTATACCAGGATTATTTTTTTTAATTCAAAATTGTTTGAAAGCTTTGAAAAGTGTAAAAAATCCCTAAAACTGCAGTTTTAGTGATTTTTTACACTTTTCAAAGCTTTTAAACATACGAATTTTTGAATTAAAAAAAATAATCCTGGTATAGATTCTTTGGGAAATTTTATGCTCTACAAGAATCCGCGACGTAAAAAATTTTATCTCAAACGGTTCAAAAGTTATAGTCTTTTTAATGAAAAAAGATTTTTTTACGTGTTATTTCAATGGAAAACTTAAAATTGAGCAAAAAATTTTGCCTTACAGGGAAATTTTGTTCTCGGTATGTAGGTTCATTTTAACCCATAAATCCGATAGGTTAGTTTTTTTGGCTCACCCTAATATATATACATAAATATATAATAATAATAATAATAATAATTTTCTCACTGTGGTGTTATTATATCGACCGCCTCTTCTGACATCCATTCGCATGTCCTGATGACCTTGTCTGGATCAGCTGGTGGAGGGTACGTTTTTTCGTACAATATTCTTTCCCTTAAGTGGCAGTAAGCCGTGGATAAATGCGCGAATGCCTGTAAAAACATAAAAAATTGTTAAAAATTGAATTCTCGTTTTAATGATGTATAATATGTTGTGTTTCGTACGATAGATGGCGTAGATATCAACGAAAATCAAAAAGAGTGCAGTAGGCTTTGCTTTTGGGTTTTTTGAGGTTATCTGGGTTGGTATTTTAGTGAAGTGGGGCATGTTGGGGTTCAAATGAAAGGAAATTTGATTTTCTATTAAAGTAAACTCAAACAAATTTTTGATTTCATACCTGCAATTTTTTACACCCCTTGGCCAACTCCAGCATCAATTTGGTACCCCTTGTGTTCAATAAAACTGCTTTTTTCAGCTGTTCGTCAAATCTTATGGTGGCAGCCATGTGGAAAATATACTCTACTTCTTTTTGTAACAGTTCTCGATTTTCACTGGATATTCCTAGCTCAGGTTGAGATACGTCCCCAGGTATGGCGACAACTTTTTTGATGATGTCTTCTCCTTTTTCTTTTTTAACTCTGTCGAATAGCTGAAATTAAATTTTTTTATTATTATTATTTATTTAGTTTATTTTAGTCTTTCTAAGTTAACCTATATGTTTTCAAATATCTGAGGTAGTAAAAGCATACTAAAATATCAGTTCACTAAGTAAATTAAACACATCCAAAGCAATCGAATCAAATATAAAATATTATTAAAAATTAAAAGAAATAATTTTTATAACCATTTATGTAGGTGTTACAAAAATTGATTCTATCATCCGTGAATCTGTTTTTGCTATAAATTTTATGCAACGGATGGCGCTTTAATCATTTTAAATAAGCAAAAACCTCTGTTTACGTCATTATAGATGCATGTGATTTCTGAAGGTCAGTTAGAATATATATGCAGATGAGAGTGTTGCTGTTTTATAATTCAAAAGTTTAAGTTCATTAATTTGCTATTTAAAAACCTATCCACCGTGAAGTGTAATATCTCAGTAAGTAGATTTTTTTATAAATATTTTATGTAGATACAATTGTATTTTTAAAAAATATTAAGATGTCAAAAGATACAATAACTTATTTCAAATATAAAAAACATACGAAATCCTAACCTCCGTTAAGCTATCTTCCGTGAAGCTCGAATATTCAAAATGTATGATTTCTTAAAATTCTTGCATTAGTACAGAACCACTTATGTTATGTTATTACTAGACCTGGTGATTTCCCAAAAAAACCATTCTAGACTAACAGTGAAACAACCAAAAATAAAAAAAAATCATTTTCACTTGGGGAACATCTCAATATATTCACCGATATGCAATTTTGCAAGGAAATATCTTGAGTTAAACTGCCAATTTGGTTGCAAAAGGACAATAAAAAAATAATTGCATCAGAAGTGGGATAATTTTTTAAAACATTAAATTTTTTGAGATATTGAACTAAACAATGCTGTCAGATCTGTTGTACACATTCTTTCGACATTATTAACGATTATTTAATTATTACTAAAAATTTTAACTACCATTTGCTTTTACGTAATCGCACAATTGACACCAATTTGCTTATTGGTATTAAATCTACGCAATATTCAATAAATAGACAATTAATTCCTAACAATAAGCAAATATTTATTTAACGAGTGATTGTTATTGCAATTTGGCAATGTTTGCCAATTGTGTAGAAAGTTTAGTAACTGCCGCTATATTTTTCTCATACATTGTCAAAATAAAGCTACCAGAAAGGTAGGTTAGATTTTATTTATTTTTCGAAATAATTTAAATTTTGTGTTCGTCGTAGAAAAAGTAAATAAACTAATTACCTGATTTTTAAACACATCCTCCCTTAACCTTTGTTGTGGATCTTTTCCCTTCTTATCCCTAACCAATAAATATATTTTTTTAAAGTCTGAGCAACTTCTGAGAATTTTCTCTATGAGGACTTTGCCTAAAAATCCGGTCCCTCCGGTGACAAATAAGGTTTTTCCCTTATACATTTCAGCTATCCTGTCTATGTCCTCCATTTCGTCGGGTTTTTTCGCCATTTTAATTCTGAAAAACAAAAAAAAAATATTTTATCTCCTCGCGGTCTATAATTTAAACTTTATTGTTGTCAACATTCGATAAAGAAATACCTTTTTATGGTCTAGGCCGATAAAAAATTTTATGAGGCAAGTAGTTAGTTCGATTTTTTCTCGCTAGGGGTATTGTTTTGACAAATTAATCCTTTTCTAAGAAATTAACGTACTAAACTGGTTTAATTTATTTATAATAAGCACTAATTTGTTCGTTTTACTGTTATTGTTTAATATTTTTCATTAAATTATTGTAAAATTAAATAGGAATAATAAAACAAAAAGTGAGATTAGGCAACCAAGAAAACGCACGATTCTTTTTCTACGATTTAAATTATCTTTAAGTTTTAATTTGCTTTAAGTTTTCAGTGAAATTAAATGTTAAACACAGCTTAAACATTCCAAACTACCTATTTTTTAAATAAAAATCCAAACAAATTGAAATAAGATACCTACCTATTTATTAAACAATTAATTGAATTCAATGTAATAGCAAAAATCCATTTCTACTTAAATCATGTTGCTAGGTATTATCAAACTATTACTGCTTCTAAAAGCAATAATAATTATTGTACATTTAATGTAATCTTTAGCTAATAAATAAATGAGATTCTAAAAAAGTGAGGTTAGGCCGCTTTGATGTTGAATTAAAATGACCCATATAAAGTGCTTTGAAGATAAAATGTTGTATGCCATTCGGCCAAGAAGTGCTTTTTGTGCTTCGCTCAATTGTATGCCTCCGCTACGCGTCGGCCTTCAAACCTTGAGCTTAGCACAAAAAGCCTTACTTCTTAACCTAATGACATAAATAACTATTAAGAAATGTATAGAAAAGTTTCCTTGTCTCATCCACTGTTGGGGTCTCCAGAATAAAAACGCGTTTTGAGGGTTAAATTTTAACTCAATTTAAGAATTTTAGTATCAATATCATTGTCTGTATTATGTTCAATAAGTTTACCGAGTAAATGCCATTTTTCTGTTAAGTTGGTTGCCTATGTTAAGTTATACCTTATATAAATCCAAAAATAAAAATCACCAGTCTTTAATTACGAGATATTGTAAATACTTGTATAATTTTTTTTAATCAAATACTTTAAACAAGGATTATTCGTCGTGAAGCTTTAAGTCCTAATTTAACCTCAAAAAAATAAAGTATACACATTCATAAAGTATATTAAACATGAGTTCTTTATGCTATTTTATCTATTTTGCAAAAATTCTATAAAAAAAATGATTATATACCTTAAATTTAATTTGGTCCAATTTTACTTTAGATAGTTGGTATCATTCGTTTCACAGTTAATGTCAAAATCCATTCGCCATGCCGTCCTTAATTTACTTATTTACAATAAGCGGCTGTTAATGTTAAAGAAGAAAAAAAGGATTTTTTGGTGTTAAACAAAATTTATTGCCAGAAAAGTCTCGTAAGTACCAGAAAAATCATAGAAATATTATAACCAATATGCAAAATATTATGCTGTTTAAAGTATAGCCAACATCAAAATTTTGGGTGGGATAAAGTATCTCATTACAGCACCGAAAGCGGTGTTATAATGAAGTCATTATGAACACAAAATAGATATACAGATTGTTCCCGGATAGATAAAACTACTCTTGTAAAATCAAAAAAAAAATTAATTTAATTTTCATTTTGGGGGGTTCATCCCTGCTTGATAAAAGATTAATTTTTAACATAATTTCAATTTTGAGAAATTAAGTATGCCTTGGAAATATTAAAAAAAAACTATAGTGCCTTTCATATGTGATATACGACAAAATATTAAAATAAAAAGTTGTTTAGAATTAATATTTAGGCCCCCATACCAAATTTAAAAATGCTTGGCCAACTTTAATTTTTATTTTTTGTACTATCCAGATTTTTACAAAATCAGTGGCCAAGAAATTTGAAATTTTTTATATGAACTTAAAATATGGTTCTAAACAACTTTTCTCAATAATATTTTGTCGTACCTATATCCCATATGAAAGGCACACAAAAATAGTAAATAAATATAAAAAAAAGTTGGCCAAAAATTTTGAAATTTAGTGTAGGGCCTGAATGTTAATTCTAAACCACTTTTTGTAAATAGTTTTGTAAATATTTTCGCCTTATACTTGATTTTTCAAAATTGAAAAACCCCTGAAAAGGAAAATTGAATTTAAAATTTTTGAATTATACAAGAGACGTTCCACCTATCCGGTGACACACTGTATATTATATAGGTACAGTGTGTATCAGCCAAATGGAATAAATTTAATAATATATTATTAGTATACTGTTACTGTTAACAATATTTAGAGAGGTTTTGTTCTTAATTTTAATTTTATTCAAACAATTATTTCAACTTTCCAAAATATAAAAAATTAATCATAATTCATTTATTAATTTTTAATGTAACCAGTTTAATTTTTAAGTTATATCATAGATTTATGAGTAACTTAACCCACATTTTACGTCTTATAGTAAGTAGAGTTTCTAATATAATTATGTTTAATATAAAAAATTCGCCATGATTTTAAAGGTTACCAATTTTTTAACGATGTTAGGTATTTAGAAATACAGGGGGTCCAAAAAATGGCGCAATTACGTATACCATATAATATATATATATATATATATATATATATATATATATATATATATATATATATATTAAATATTATATATATTAAAGCATATTATGTTTACTATTTTTTGTTTACAAGTAATTTGAAATGTGTATGACAAGTCAAAAAAAAGTATTCAAATAGAACAAAATTTATAAAATAAATAAACAAAGAAATTCAAAGTACATACAACAAGTTGTATAAATAAACAAACAAAGATAGCACTGTTTAAAAAACAAAAGGTTTTTAAAAAGTAGAGCTAAGATATTCCTCAGTTAAATAAAAACATTTTTCTAATACTATGTTTTTTATTGTTGATTTAAAGCGTTTGAATGTTAGTTCCTTTGTTTTGTTAGGTAAGTGATTATATAAATTGACATTTAAGGTGTTTTTAATGGTTTTTGCAAACCCAAATTGGGGGTTCCTTAAAAAAATTGTGTAGTATTATGGTTGTGAATATCATGGCTTACAATAAAACTTGATTTAGTGTAATGGTTATTATGGAAACAATTCAATGGGGGTGTGGGAGTTTTTTAAATAATTCTTGCGTTTGGAAAATCGCAAGATTCATAACGCTTCCATGATTTTGTTATAACAAATGTGTCAAGAGTTACGAATAAATACAACATCTGTTTCTAGCACGGTTATATCCGTTATAACATATACGAGGTGTGTTCAGAAAACAACGGGAATTGTTAAATTTCGCGGGTTCGGAAGGTCCGGTTGTCATAAAATTTTCTTTATTATGTTGGTATACACGCCCCCGAAGTATGATAAAAACTTTGGCTGTTTTCATTGTTTACTTTGTCTGCGGCAGCCGCTAAGGTTAGACGTGTTTTATGAGCTCGGCGAATTTTCGTTCGTTAAAAGAAATGGATCAAAGAATTTCTATCCAATTTTGCTTAAAAAATGAAATAAATTCTGTGAAATGTTAACAAAGGCCTATGGTGAGTCTGCTATAAGTAAAACAAGAGTTTACAAGTGGTATAAGAGTTTCCAAGATGGCCGTGAAGACGTTGAAGATGACGAACGCCCAGAACGCACAAGCACATTAACAACCGATAAAAACATGGAAAAAGTGGAAGAAATGGTTATAAACCATCAGAGAAGTCGCTGATGATGATGGTATATTGATTGGCTCATCAATTATGAAATTTTTTCGAATGTTTTGGGTATGAAACGCGTGGCAGCAAAATTTGATCTAAAATTGTTAAATTTTGAACAAAATTTTTGGCCAAAAACAATACTGTAATGATGCCCAGCCTCCATATTCGCCAGACATGCCTCCGTCTGACTTTTTCCTATTCCGAAAAATAAAGAGAACCTTAAAGGGCCGTCGTTTTGCAAGCATAGATGACATTAGAAGCGCATCGCTGAAAGAACTAAAGGCTATCCCAAAGATCGAGTTTTAGAAGTGTTTCGAGTATTGGAAGAAGAGCTGGCACATGTGCATAATATCCAATGGGGACTATTTTGAAGGCGACAACATTAATGTAGACGAATAAATAAATATTTGTTTCAAAAAACGAAAATTACCGATATTTTCTGAACACACCTCGTATGTTCAATATTCTTCAAAGTATTTAAATTTGAAATTGTAAAAAAAATTTTTTTTACGGTATGTCTTTTTTAGAGGCTAATTTTCGACATCATTTAGGCAGTGTCAGAGCATCATTTTTGGGATACCCTGTATTTTTTTTAAGGATTTCCCAAGTGATGATTTAAAATTAAACCAAAAAATAGTAATATTTTGGAACGTTACGAAAAATTGCATAATTTAAAAACGAAAAACCCCAAAAAAGTTTGATTCATAACTTTGTTACACGAGTCGACTATCACTTAAGTAATAAGAAGACACCACTCCAGACAGACAAAATTACTTTCTCTCCAGTAAAAATAGTAAGATATAGACAACGCACAGTAGGTCAAAGTCAAATTTTAGTAGGACAAAATGAAACTTGTTACAAGTTTAATATGTTTGAGTTATATAACATGTGTAATATGTACCTACTTAATATTAAAGGAATATTACCTAATACTTATGGTGTATTACTTACTAATACAATATTTATATAAAAAACATTTGGTATTTTTTCCAAAATTGGCGTCAATTTTCCTGAATTTGTTACGCTTATTTCAATATAAAAGAATTCGCCCTGGTAAATTTTTTTTGCCACCGTGCGGCATATCTATAATACTGGTCTAGTGACCCACTTAAAAAAAGTTGCACACTTTCGTTACATAATGTAATCTGTGAGTGTTTTCTATTAAATAAGTAGTTACCTACACATAACTAACTACAAATTGCAAGTACCTAATTGTTTATGTTACAATTAATTAGGGAATGTTTAGGGGGGATTCCATTGGATA